AGATTCACGCAGCAGTCCGTGACCACGCATGCACCCAACCCTGCCGGGCTGTCAGTGTGCTGTTCGAGCCTGTGTGGTTTTAGGGTTTAGGGTTTAGGGTTTAGGGATTATGGTTTAGGGTTTAGGGATTAGGGTTTAGGGTTTATGGTATAGGGTAACCCTAAACCCTAAACCCTAAGATATATTAGCTTGGATACTTCGGGCATGCCCTCAGCCTTAGAATCCTGTAAAGCTGTCGTGGAGTGCTACTGTAAGCCCTTTTTTGACATGAAACCCTGTGAAGCTGTTCTATGTAAACCCATTAAACGCCGCTCATGAAACCAACCCTAAACCCTAAACCGTGAACTCTAAACCTAAGCCCTTAAGCCCTAAACCCTAAAATCTAAACCTAAACCCTCTACGAAACCCGTCGTACACCTCCGAAACCTCCGGAATCCGAGAGAAGGTCTCCCAAGCACGCGACATGTTTCAACTCCCAGTTTCCGAAGTTGGGTTTAGGATTTAGGGTTTAGGGGTTAGGGTTTAGGGTTTAGGGTTTAGGGTTGAGGGTTTAGGGTTTAGGGTTTAGGGTTTAGGGCTCAAAATACGGGCCTTGAGGGCTTTTAGGGGTTTAGAAGGGTTTAGGGGAAAACGGGCCTTTAGGGCTTTTAGGGTTCGGGTTTTTTTTTGGCTTCAGGGGAATATGGGCCTTTAGGGCCTTTAGGGGTGGAGAGTTTCCCGATTAGAGGTTTAGGGCTCAAATTAGGTTACGTCGTTTAGGGTCCAGGGATCAGAACCAGGCCATATAAGATAGAACAAGATTTATGTGAAAGTTGCTTATAAGGTTCCTTCGGAAGGGTTCTATAAGGGTTTCTAGAAAAGGGGCAAAGAGATGGCTGGCCCGAATTCTTCGAATGGGGTTGAGGGGCATATTGTAATATAAATAGATTAACAGACCTCAGGGTTTAGGGTTTATAGGGTTTTAAACCCAAAGGAAGGCTATATGGGTTTTCTATACTAACGGGGTCTAGGGTTTCGGGGTCAGGGTGTATAGGCATCAGGGTTTTAATTTAAGGTCCATACCTGGTAGGGTTTAAGTATTCAACTTACGGCTCAGGGGGTTGAGGGGTTTAGGGCCATGGGCCTTGCGCTTGAGGTTCGGTGGTGCGGAATCTCGAATATCACGTGCTGCTGGACAAATCAACGCTGATTTAATGGAATATACAGGCGTCTTGATCAGCGTAGCGTGTTTTTGGATATGCTATAGGTTTTCATAAGTTCAGGAAGTACTTTGGACCGTTTGGGAGGGTTCCTAAACCCTAAACCCTAAACCTTAAACCCTAAACCCTAAGCCCAACACAACCCTAAACCCTACGCCCAAAAACACCCTAAACCCGAAGCCCAGAAAAACCCCAAACCCTAAGCCCAGCAAAACCCTAAACCCTAGGGTTTAGGATTGGGCTTCTGTGTAACAGGCTCGGGGGCCTAGTCACCTACACAGCAACTAGGCTACAGGGATGTTTGCACTGTACCTATAGGGTTTAGGGCTTAGGGTTAGGGTTATAGTCTGCAGTGTAGCTCCTTTTTGGGGTTACCTTATAGGATCCTACATATAGAACTGATTAAACCAAAATAAAGAACTACCATGGAAACTAATGGCAAGGTTCATTTAAGGGTTTGGGATTTAGGCTTTTTAGTTTAGGAAACAGTAACCCACCCCGAATTTCCAGGTAAAGTGGCTCTAGGCTAGGTGATTCTATAAACTTCTTGCCTTCCGCGTCGAGATCGAAGCTAGATCGGATAGCTATGGGTTGAGACAAAGCCGCGGAAGGGAGCTTGATTGCCATCGCCCGGCGTAACGACCACCTCATGTTTCATTACAGACTGGAGGGTTTGAGGAAAGATGTCCATCGACCTCCCTGCCTCCTCTGTATGCGCACGGTATCTATCCGTTACTTGTTGCAAGATCGGGAGAGACTGAGCACGATGGAACAACGCCGCGCCCTCAAACAAACGTAGCGAGCCCCAGAAATTTGGAACATCGATGTTGGGATGACTCGTGCTGGGATAGATTACGCTGCACCTCAACCGCATAACGATACTGATGTTCCAACTTTCTGGCACCCTACACCCTAAACTCTAAAGGCCCTAAGAAGATCATGCCAAACCAGGCTGTTACCTCCGCTGTCTACCCTAAGCTAGTAAGCCCCCCTGAGCCCTAAAGCCACCTCGAAACCTTCAACATACCTATAGTCTCCATTGTAATTCCTTTTTTTGGTTTAACCAACTATATATTAAGGATTTTACAAGGTATCCCCAAAGAGGAACTACAATGGAGACTATAGGTAAACCCTAAATGAAAAGCCTCTCTGGGGTCCTTCGATGCAAGAGGAAGTGATGTATACACTAGGCTCAGAAACACATTTATCTTCAGCGCCTCGTGTAAACCTACCTGTAGCCCAAAACCCAAAACCCTAAACCCTGAACCCTAAACCCTAAACCCTGAACCCTAAACCCTGAACCCTAAACCTGAATTACATCAGCAAGGAACAGGCAGGGAGCCTACAGCCCAAATTCCGACCAACCCTCGTCTCCTAAAACCTGAAACCCTAAACCCCCAGACCGTAATGCCCTAAAGCTATCAATCTCCAAACCCTAACACCTAAAAGCCTACAACCCCAAACCCTAAAACCTCAAAACCTCAAACCCTAAACCCTAAACCCGAAACCCTAAAACCCTGAACCCTAGAACCCCAAAGCCCCAAACCCCCCATTTTAAAGACACCTTTCACCATGTCGAAGCCATGAGGCCGAACCAGCTGTTGCACTCGGCGTCCGGCGCGGGGCCTGGCACAAAGGAGAAAGCTTCCACTTAATGGTTTTAGGGCCTAGAGGGCTTAGGGTGTAGAGCTGCACATCCCTTTAGGGGTTAGGGCTTTATAGGGCTTATAGGGCTTCGGGTTTCAAAGCTTAGGGCTCAAGGGGCTTCGGTTTTGTAAGCGTGTTGCAGAGTTTTAGTCGGGTCCAGGGCTCGGGTTCAGCATCCGCCTCTGCCTTTGAGGTGAGGCATCCCCTAAATGCCTGCTTTAAAGGTTCCTTTAAGGGCTCCCTCAAGGGTCCATGTACTCATCTAGAATATGCTTTGGGCTTCCAGAGTTAGCAATGATTAGCAACTGTAGTGGTCGCTGCAAAATCATAGTAGAATGTCCCCCCCCAAGCGTATTTATGGACCCCCTAGACTACTATAAGCCTCAGACGTTTAGCGATGACGGGAGGAAGCTGTTGATGATAAAATCCATTGTGGCTGCTGCTACTCATACTACCAGAAGCACAACCGTCCTAGCCGACAACCATCAAACTGCATGCCTTAACCCAAAGATCCTATTCCCCAAAACCCTACATCCTAAACAGTAAGACTTGACCCTGAGCCCGCAACTGCAAAGCTAACCCCTAAGCCCAAAGCCACGACGACGACCACGACAAGCAGGAAACCGCAAGACCCCCACGAGAAACCGAGCAGACCACCAAGAGACCCAAGAAGCAATGAGGAGACAACGAGGAGACTAGCAATTGAAAATACGGAGAGACTGCAGGACACCACCCCAAGAGACGCAGTGGGGACCATCAGAAGATGATCCCTCAAGCTCTCAGAAAATTCAGGATGCTTCTCATGCTGCAGGATTCACTCACGAGTGCTTCCCCCGCATGCTTCCCGCAATCTACTCGGGGAGATCACGAGGACAACCGCAGTGACTCAGAGACTTTGAGGCCGCAAAGTGGTCAACATAGTGGAATCTAACATGAATATGGGTAGTCGTCTAAATTAGGTCCCGCTGAGGGTCCTTATATATTGGGGACCCAAAAAGGACCCTAGTTTACCGTGCCACAGCCGGAGCCACGTCCCGCACTACCTGGGCGCCCGCGCCACCCTAAGCAGTTCCCTTGATTCATAACTCTGAACCCGAGAAGTCCTTGGTTGAAACCCTGACTTCGGAGGGCTAGTGAAGTTTCTGCATGCTTGGCCGATCCTTCCACAGAAAGACTCCCGAAGACTCGGTGAAGTGTACGCGCGTGTCGTCGGGCAGGGAGACCTCCACCAACGAAGAGCTGCAGTTTGACATGGGATTTGAGTTTAACATAGGTGCCTTAATTACTAGAATAATTAGAATAGGGTTTGGAGGTCCTTTATAGTATCGTTATAATAAGGAGACCCCACAATATTATAGGCAATTATTCAGGCCCCTACATTAGAGCTTTAAGTTTAAAGATCCGAGTCGCTAAGTCTGAAAAGTCAAGTCCCATACCGTCGAACTCGAAACCCTGAAACCCTAAAAACTAACCCCCCCAAAAGGACAAGCCCTACACCCTAAGCCCCAAACCCTACAGCGGCAAACGCAAACTGCAACTCTATACATTATGAGCCATGAAGCCATATAAGATAGGGTGAGGTTGTTGCAGGGTTGTACATATGTTTTGGGATTGCATAATAATTGCTTCGTAGAAGGCACCTGATGACTTGTATTAAGGGTTTGCTGTACGATAATTATACCTATAGTCTCCATTGTAGTTCCTTTTGAGGTTACCTTATAGGATCCTCTATATAAAACTGGCTAAAACAAAAAAGAACTACAATGGAGACTACAGGTAGTATGGTATTTTTACAGTATACGGTTATATGGACTAAGTAAGGGGATACGACTCTAGTTGTTCCGGCCTTCACATAAAACTGTGAAGCCTCTGTGGACTGCGCAAGCTTATGAATACCTACTTGTTAGGGTTTAGGGTTTAGGGTTTAGGGTTTAGGGTTTAGGGTGTACCGCTGAGGCTTTCGTCTCTTTGGGCTTTGGGGTGTGGACAGAGTCCACAGTAACACACGGGCCTCAATAGTTCGACAAGGGTTTTGCAGTCAGTATATTATACCTTAAACCCTATACCCTAAACCCCTAAACCCTAAACCCCTATAAACCCTAAACCTTACACCCTAAAACCAGTTGAAGCCTTCCAAGGATGTCCTGCATCGGCTGAAATGCCCTGCAGCAATCCTCAAACCCGGAATAGCTCGGGCCTTGAGGGATCCGGATTTGGCTAAGCCCTATAGACTCTGCCTCTGACTCCAATAACCTACTATGGAACGGGTTAAAGGGTTAAACATGGCAAAAGCAAATCTAAGATTCATAAAACTGAGAAACCTACCTACTATTCTGCGCGGTTTGGTGCCACAGGGAAACCCTGCACCATCGCTAGGGTCGCTAGAGGGTTTATCGCATACACCGTAAACCGTTAGAGAACGCTTACGCTTACGAAACGCTTATAATTGTAGAACTCTTATGGCGACCCCCCGACCCCAAAAAGAAAACCCCTGAACCTGCAACCTTTCGCCGTAAAGCAAGCCAAGTCTGCCTGGCCCGCGAGCGGCGTACCTGAACAAGGTTTGCTTAAGGTTTTAGGGCTTTAGGGTTTAGGGTTTAGGGATTTAGGGTTTAGGGTTTGCATCAAATGGATGACACAGTTGGTTGCAAGAGTTGGATGGAGTGTATAGTGTTTCATACATACGTAAGTATATGTACATGCATGCATACATTGCGTTGAATTGCATGTCATTGCGTTGCATTGCATTTCATTTCACTGCATTGCGTTGCATTGCATTGCATTCATTACAAAACATTACAATACAATACAATACATTACGTTACATTACAATACATTACATTACAGTACATTGCATTGCATTGCATTGCATTGCATTGCATTGCATTGCATTGCATTGCATTGCATTGCATTGCATTGCAGTCCATTGCAGTACACTACGGTACAACACATTACATTACACTACATTAGATTAGGTTAGATTCCATTACATACCTACGCACATCAAGATCTCTACTTTGGTTTGCCTGAGGCTTACGGCTTTGCAGCGTTGAAGGTATTGGACGTTGGACCCTAAACCCTAAACCCTAAACCCTAAACCCTAAACCCTCACCCATACGCTGGCCTCCAGCGTGGTAAGCTTGAAAGGGGTTCTCGAACATGGGTGCCGTTTTTCGTGGGATGTTGAAAAAGGCAGCACGAAGCCCCATGTGCTAACCGCCAACCATCCAGCCAGAGGTCCCGATGTGACAGTTGCTCTAAAGATAAGTCTTGCCTTCGGGCATATATAGGGCTTATATGGCTTTACTTCAGTGCTTAGGGTTCCTGGGTTTACAGAGGCACGGTACCTTTTTGAAGTGTGGTGCCGGTACCGAAGCTGGAGACAGCGGCCTGCAGGCATGGTTAACTTGGGCCCCTTTCTTTCAAAACACTTGATCATCAATTGCATGTGCCCACCACGCTTGGACCCGAAGTGATACGTCCAGAGAGTATACCCCTGACCTGTTGGTCACGCTTTGAGCCTATGGTCAATGACCTGATCAATTAGCCATGGTGCTCCTGCGAAGTCTCGAGCATCATACGCCCTGATATTCATAGTCCAAAACAACGGTTTAGGGTTTAGGGTTTAGGGACAATAAGCTGTGATGCTGAAGGCAATCGCAGATAGACCTCTCAACTCAGGGTCACAGAGGTCCCAAACCCCAAACCTGAAACCCCAAACCCAAACCCTAACCCTCAAACCCTAAACCCTAAACCCAAACCCCAAACCCAGACCCTTAAACCTCAACTCAATGATTTCACCAAGCTGCCGAAGAATCCGAGGACGGGAAGTGACAGCTGCGAAACGCGAATCGTGTGCCTGGGGTGTTGGATCATTTAGGAATATTGGGAGTTTTAGGATTCTGGGGTTTTGGGGTTGCAGCATTAGGGTCTAGGGCGTGGCTTTTTCGGTTTGGGCCTACGGCGTTTGGGGTTTGTGCGTACTTAGCCGGCACCATGGGTGCCAAGCTGCGTCATCTGCGGAACCTTCGCTGAGAGGCTACCCTGAACAACAGCTATCCACCATCCGTGCACACAGCTTCGTCCCAGAGATCTCTGAAAACCTTCATCCTAGGTCTCACTAATGTAGGGGCCTAAACAATTACCTATAATATTTTGGAATATATTTTGGGGGCTTCCTTATTATAATAATACTATACTGGGCCCCAAACCCTATTCTAATGATTAAGGCCCCTACACTATCCCTGAACTCCCTAGAATCTCGCAGCATGCCGTTCTCTCCTCCCAACCAGTCCCGGCCCTAGGCTGACTTATCGCGCCCCGTGGCCTACCCATAGTCTCCATTGTAGCTCCTTTTTCTGGTTTAACCAGTTCTATATTTAGGATCCTGTAAAAGGTAACCCCAAAAGGAACTACAATGGAGACTATAGATACTTAGTGCTTCGACCCTGGTTTTTGTGGCAAACCTCATCGGACTTGCCTGTTACAGACCCCTACACTGGGGGTTGAGGGTTCAGAGCGACAGAAATTATCGCCGACAGTGTGACATGGACATGGGCCCTTCTGGTACGAAATGAGACCAGCCTTGATACTTAGAATTTGGAATAGGGTTTCATTCGGGCAACATGGGATGCTTATAGTGTACTCTAAAACCAAGGAAGCCTACATCATAGACACAACCTTACGGTATTTTTCGACACCTGCATTCATGTCGGAATGTTTAATTAGGTGATCCCAAACCCCAAACCCTTTCCTCCCCAACCCTAAACCTTTCAGAAGTTGCTCCGGCCGGGGCGAAATTCTGGGGGCCTCGTATATAAAGTGCTCTGGATTCGGCATAGGATTTTGCCAATCTTAGATGTTCCTCTCTGCTTTCAGGGTCAATTCTGATTAAGTCAAAGTCTCGCTTTGGCAGGCCTCAGGCTTGAATAGTTGTTTTACGAATTTTAGAAAGCCCCGGGGCTTGATTTCGAAACGTTTCGATACTACTGTACCGCGGAGGGACGGGTGGTGGGGAGGTCCGTTCAGCGCACCAGGTTGTGTTAGCTGTGCTTTTCCCCGGGGGAGGCGGGGGGAATGATTTTTAGTGCAAGTGCAGTGCTCAGAGCGACGGCTGTATGCTCGAACCTCTCCTAAACCCCAAAGCCTGAGCCCGGAACCCTTATAGTGAATCCCAGAAAGTTTGAATATGGATTTAGGATGATTAGTGCTGGGATCCCCCATCTTTTACCTAGAGGGCATGAGGATAATGATGTTCCAACTTTCTGGCTTCTACTGTAGATCCCAAACCTCCAAACCCTAAAGCCATCTCGCGCTAGTCGAAAGTGGAAAACCGATGAACCCCTGACCCCTCCATGCTAACAGCCCAGGCGCTGCGTAGACGCACCGGAGATGGCCGACATGTCCTGAAGGATTCATGTCGGGGCCTTAGAAGTTAGAGTAGGGTTTGGGGGCCTCCTTTAGACTTTAGAGGGATCCTTAAAGGGTTCTATAAGGGCTACTATAAGGGTTTAGGGTGTAGGGGCCTTTGATAATTAGATTAGGGTTTTGGGGCCTCCTTTAGAGGGATCCTTAAAGGGTTCTATAAGGGCTACTATAAGGGTTAAGGGTTTAGGGGCCCGAATAATTAGTAAAGGGTTTTGGGGCCCATTCTACCATAATTATAGTAAGGAGCCCCCAAGATAGTGGTGGTAATCATTTCGGCCCCTATAGTACTTGAGGTCCTGAACATTCAGAACTCCTGGGAAAGCCCTTAAGGAGTGTTGGATCGCTGGTTTTGCCAATAATTCTGCATTCGGATTATTGCTGTTGTTGTTGATACGGTTGTTGCTGCTTTCAGAATTGAACGTATCCTTGTAGTTATAATGCTACGACATACTACTATCATTTTCCGATGTGACCACTAGCTTTGTACTGGAGCTTTGCTAGCGCATGTTTAGTTGGAAAATCCTATCGGCATCAGCGTCATGTAGAGGAATGAATCTCAGTCTTGCAAAGTGGAAAAGAGCTACCTATAGTCTCCATTGTAGTTCCTTTTTGTGGATACCTAATAAAAATCCAAATATATACTTGGTTTAACCAAAAAAAGGAACTACAATGGAGACTATAGGTATGCTTGGAAGTTTATCCGACAGGACCTTGAATCCCAAACCCGAGCTGCAGCAGAAGGAACTCTTACCCTGAGAACGGCCTGGCCTCTTAAGAGGTTGCTTATAGGGTAATGTAGGAACCAAAACAATTACCAGTACTATTTTGGGGGGTTCCTCATTGTAATTACTGGATAATGGGCCCCAACACCCTATTCTAATGATTAAGGCCCCTATAGTATCCTGCGGCAGGACGAGCTTCACGACGTTTCGCCGCCCGCTGCTTACAACCTCGATGCTTCAAGCTCGTTCTCAGCACATTCAGCCGCTTGGCCCTTAACTCACCGCCGAAACGGCACGAATACTGCAGATGTGGAATAATCCCTCGACAGAAGCACCGCAAGACCTAAGCTGGTTCCCAGGCAGGTGGTGCTGGCAATGCCAAAATACCCAAAGACTGCTGATTTTGTCCGTGAAAGTGGAGCTAGGACCAAGAAATCGAGGGTCTTTGCTTGTTTACTTACCACAAAGAAGCAGGCCCAGCTGGTTCCCAGGCAGGTGGTGCTAGCAATGCGAAAATGCTCAAAGACTGCTGATTTTGCACGTGAAACTGGATGGGATGAGGCAGCGCAATGGGTAAGGCGCCTACGACTTCATGGAAGGTCTTGGGCTCAAGCCCTCTAGGTGTCAAACAAGAAATGTACTGAGACTCTGGTGGAATTCGGACAATTCTTTAATGCTATATCCGATTAAGAAAGGTGCGAGACTCTGGTGAAGGAATGTGGTTTTCTAAAGACAAAGTTCGACCGTACTTCCGGTTGAGGGCCGCGTCTGGCTTTGGGAGTTTTGGGAGCTACAAAGGAAGGGGCGGAGCAGGAAGCTTGCAGCCCACCGCTTGTCGTCGTCACTGTACTTCCAGAACCCACAGAAAACGAACAACCGCAAAGCCAAACATCTAAAGTCCCCATCCACAGACACCCGAAAACCCAAGAGAAAACACTTTCAAACCCAAGAACAGAAAGCCCGAACCTAAACCATCCCAAACCCCCAATAACCCTCAAACCCAGTGCCTAGACCCTAAACCCTAAACCCCAAGCCCCCAACACCCCGAAACCCTAAACCCTAAACTCCAAAAACCCTAAACCCTAAACTCCAAAAACCCGAAACCCTAAACTCCAAAAACCCGAAACCCGAAACTCAAAAAACCCGAAACCCTAAACTCCAAAACCCCGAAACCCTTAAGACCCAGTGCCAGGAGCCGATTCTGAGAGGCAGGAGGTGATGATCCCACACTGCTTTGAGAAGTGCGGAAAGCATAGAGCCTTGCCAGTCGTTCTTAGGGTTTACCTATAGTCTCCATTGTAGTTCCTTTTTTGGTTAAACCAATTATATTATATATTTAGGATCCTATAAGGTATCCCCAAAAAGGAACTACGATGGAGACTATAGGTAGAGTTTAGGGATAAATGCGGTTAGGGTTCAGGGTCCAGGGTTTACGGAGCTTAGGGCTTACTAGGGTTTCTGTAAAGGGTCCCATGAGAGTTTTCTTATCGGGGCCTTAGCAAGTAGAATCGCGCTTGGGAGCATACCATAGTACACTTAGTCCACTAATGCTTGTTCCGACCTCTATGCTACTTAGGATTCTTGCATGGTTGTTGCAAGGCTTCTGTATGGACTTTATGAGGGTTCTCAAATCGGGCTTCCTGGTTGTAAGCTAACCGAAAACGGAAAGGGGCGTGCTTCTAGCGAGTTTAACTTAAGTCCTTACCGGTTCGGATAGGGTTTTGGGGCATGTTATCGCATGATTTATTCAGGAACCCTACGCAATAGTTTGGTAACTATTTGGGCCCCTTATAGGGGCTCCAGTGGATGTATATTCCTACTTATTCCGACCTCTCTCATATCGGTATTCACCAGGATTCTCTGAACTCCAAACCTTTAAAGCTACCGAAAACACCATGTCGTCCTCAAACATCCGAAGACCCTACATAAATCCTGAAAAACTGTTCTCAATGGATTGTTGTTTTTTGCAATGCAGGGATATCCTAGGCTCTCTTTAAGGGTTCCTGTGCGGGCTCCTTTTTGGGTACTATAGTTACTATCGGGTTCTATAGTAGGGTCCACTTTAGAGGAACTATAGGTTATTTTTTGTTGTAGAGGTGTTTTTAGGGTTTTGGGCATTCTTCGTCTCGGTGTTGGGGCTTGAATCTCTCGGGCGGTTCGGATTCATGATCGCAGGTATGATCCAAGTATCAATCTTATGTTTTTTTATTGACCCGGACTGACCCCCCCCCTTGAAAGCCAAACTATCTTACATCCAGGTATACGGACGTAGCACTGTTGCTGAACCGTCGTTGTCTGAACCTCCTTCTCGAGGGCTCGCTTTGCACCTGGATGCTGCTACCACCAGACTCGCCTCCCCCATGAGATGATACGCTGTCATGATGTCCGTGTGGCGATTGCGAAGTCCGCCACTGTTTCAATATCGTAGGCTAAGGATGTGCTGGATGAATCGATGAAGATACAGCTCCTCCTGCTCGACTCCTCCAACGTGACTGGCACCGCAAGGCGAGAGGAGATGCAGAATGACAGCATCCAAGACCGGATGCGGCAATCGGTTCCAGAACTTCCGATTGAAACGCCTGGCGTACCCCTACACCCTAATCCCCAAAGCTTAAGTCTAACCCGAACTTAAAGAACCCCAAACCCTAAACCCTGAACACCAAACCCTGAACCCTAAACCCTAATCCCTACCAGCACCCCCCGACGTACTGTTAAGGAAGGTCTTGATCAAAGGACATTTAATAAGAAGCACTTGTTCATATCTTCATTAAGAGGGACTTCTTCTTCTTGACTCGGTAGATTCTGCCTTAAGATAACATGGGGTCACTTCTGCATGAACGATTGAAATGGGTCAGATGTTTAGTGGCCGGCTAGGGGTTTAGGGATACCTCACAATCTGCTCTTCGAAGACGACGTTGCCGTGTCAATCCTTTTCATCGAGGCACGCCCGGCATGTTTATGCCCAGTCCCGTGACTCCAACCGACGAAGCCATCGGCAGCACACATATGCAGCATATCTATGTAAAACTTGTCTGCCCAGCTGTTGCGGGTGACTTTTCACAGCCATTCGTTTGACTTTTCCCACCTGGGTTTGCGATGCTCATGATAATCCCGAGACTCCCTGTAATGCTCTATGATTGCAGATTAGCGGCAGCATCTTCATCCATGTAGCAGCTGAGCACAAGCGGGTTCACCCTTTGGGCTTCATCATAGCAAATGTGGTCCAGCCTGCATAATGTAAAAAGATGAATCAGCAAAAGTTTGCCATGACAGCACATCAGTTGCTAACATCGCTGGGGCACTTGTGAAATTTGGGACGTATTTTCCACAACAAGCGCCCATTGTCGATTGCTTCTTTGGCCAATCCTGATTCAAACGAGGATGTGCGGTCTGGGTGGGCTTGCGGGATATACACACACACAAAGAAAAAAAA